AATCCTGGCACTGCCCTGCAATGGATCCCTCAGCTGCTCTGCCCTGGGTGCTCCACCAGAGCTGTGCCCCAGCTGATTGCATGGAAATACTCTTTAAATTGATCTTTAAATAATCAGGGAATGATTCAGCTTTGATCTGCTGGACAGGAGAGAGAATGGATGAATGTTTCCAAAATATCTGTGCCCTGTATGCCTGGAAACTGCCAAGGTGAAACTCTCACAGCTTTGGAGCCAGGGGCTTTTCCAGCCTCCTGTGCAGGACGTGCAAGGTGAGGAACAGCTGGATTGTGACCTCATCTGGAGATCCTCAGTTTGGATCAGAGTGAGGACAAGGCTGGGGCTGTTTTCTGTATCTCAGCATGAGAAAACACTCGAATCAGGAACACCAGAAACACTTCAGGAACACCAGGAACACTTCAGGCCTGCCTTGTTTGCTTGTGGGCACAATGAAGAGCCAAGAACTTGAGGCAAGGCTTGCTCTGTGCTGGTGCATCTCCTGAAGAGCTTCAGGAGCAGCTGATTGCTCTCCTTCTTGAAAAGGTTGCTGCCAGAGAGGGTGACTGATTTGAGAGGCTCATGCAGCCTGAAAATTGCAGCATCTCAAATCCCTGAAGCCTCCCTCCCTGCAAAAACACAGGAAGATAATGAAAACTTGATGAAGCGCAGGAGGAAGTTCCTCGTCAGCACACTGCAGCGGCGGGGAATCGGATTTTCACAGCTCACTAACCCCTTAAGTGTTTAATAAATCCCAGAGATCTGCTCCAAGGATAAGGTGGCCCTGCTATCTGAGCAGACAGGCTCTACCTGCTGTCATCTTTCTTAAAGCTGACCCTGCTCAGCAGGACCAATTACCCAGCTAACAAAGTGGAGCCAAGTGACTCCTTGTGCCGCCCCGTCCCCGGAGCTGGAGGCGTTCTGGTTGCCATGGCAGCGTTGCTTGAGATCCTGATAACAGATAAAGGAACCAGAAGAAGGGATGGAGGCATCCCTCCTGCTTTTCTGGATGGGTTTTCCTGGTTGTTCGTGTTTTTGGAAAACGCCTGTGCATTCACACACCCCCACCAAGAGGAGCAAACATCGCCATCATGACTGAACACCACTTTTGTGCAGGGCCGCCTGCATTTAAGCCTTTGTGTGTATTTCACCTGGAACACCCCAATTTTTCATTATCAGCATGGATTTGCCACTGAGGAGCAGCAATTTTGACACCTGGGAGCTGAGTGCTGTTGGGGCTGGAAGAAGAAAGGGTGAATGTGCCTTGCTGCAGCTCTGAGGGTGTTTGTGGGGAGGAATTTGTTTAATATTGCCGATGAACTTGTGAATCTCAGGCTCTTGGCAATATTGCCAATATTGGGGATGTGCTTTAATATTGCCAATGAACTTGTGAATCTCAGGCTCTTCATCTCGTTTTGCTATCTCCAAGGGTCTCGGGCTCTTGGCAATATTGCCAACAAAAATTACCCAGTCTGTAAGTGAACAAGCACCAGCTAGAGTTGGTCCTCAGAGGAATAATTTCCAATGAAAGTTTGTCCTTTCCTCTGTAAGTTTACAGAGCAGTAACTAAATAAATCCTCAAAAGGGCTCCGTGTTCTTAAAACTGAACTACATAGCTTAGGAACTGACATGGAAACACCAATTCCAGCAGGTTGTTTTTTCTCACTTCTGATGACTAATTTATTTTATCTGTTTTGACAAATTTAATGTGGCTACTGTACAGGTTTAAAAAAAGACATGAAGAAAGCTTAAAAATGTGAATTTAGAGAGATTATCAAATAATTTTAGTAATTATTTTTCTGTAAAATTTGTGAGTGGTAATCTTGTAGGGTGAGGAATGGGCTGCTCCAAGCAGCTGTGGCCACTTGTGGTGAATTGGCAAGTTGGAAATGTGGTGGGTGCTGAGGTCAGGCTGGTGGATGAGTTTCTGTGCTGCATGAGGGAGCTGACCATGAATATCCACAGGAAAAGTCTCCTTTGTGCAGGGAAAGCACATCCCAGGTTTTCCCAAAAATCACTTTTTCAGCTGTTGTGCCTTGTGCAGGTGACGCTTGTTGTGTGTGTCAGAATTGCTGTCTCCGCACACTCAGCTGCTCCTTGAGGAATTCCTGCTGGCCATTGGGAGGAATGAGAGATTTGTCTCTGGTAGGTAAAACCAGCACTGAGAGAGAAAAGAAATAATGGGAAGGATTCCACTGACTGATGGATGGAAAAAAAAAATTGCATTTACAAACAAACTGTAGGTTTGCTGATCAATGAAACTGGATATTGAAAGATTAAAGAAGCAATGGGGAAGAAAACCCCTGAATTCCATAAGAATTGAAAATTAAAAGGCAAGGTTATACATTAGAGGGGAATATTTGGGACCAGGTGTTCCTGGAAGTCTGAACCTCTCAAGTACCCCAGAAATGGGGAAAGAGAGAAGGGAAATGTGGCTGGAAATTGGGATAAAAAGGAGGCTGCGTCCTCCAAAAATTGGAGAGACCCCAGGGGATGCCCCATGGCCTCTGCCTTGATTGGAATAAAGTTCCAGGATTGCTCTGTCTCCTTCTTGGACACCAACCTCTGGTGTTTGTGGGTGAATTTTCCTGACATTGTGGATTGTAAATCTGGGCAAATGAAGATTTTAAATCTGAGACCCTTCCCATGAGGGGGCAGCTGATGGGACCAGGCCATTGATGTCCCAATCTGGTGGCAGGAGGCCCAGCTGGCACCTCAGAATTGATCTTGGGGGTGAGCTGCTTGTCCCTGCACCCAGGAAAATCCCTCAGGAATGTGAGCACTCAGGCTTTATTTTTTGGAGAATTTTCCTGCTTCCACTTTCAAGTTCTGGGCCAGATTTCGGAGACATTTTTTGGTGTTTGACAAATATTGATCAAAAAGGGCAACTGTAAAAGTTTTCCCCTTGTTTTTACAGCCTGGCTGTCTACACAGAATTATGAGAAGTCTGAAGTTATCTCCTGACAGGTTGTCTTGCATCTTTGAACAATCCAGCAAAATTTGAGACAAATGGAACCAGCTTTGATGCACGAGGTCCAGGACTGGGAGCCAGCCTGATTTATTGATATTATTGTTTAGGAATCTTAGGAAAATTTTGTCTGACCTTGTCTTGGTTTTCTGAGTCAATATTAAAAGTACTGACTCTGACTCATTTAAATCTGGTTAATGTGCCCCAACCTGAGGAGGATTAACAATTCCCTGTCCTGATGTTGCACATAACCAGATTGTCCCAAACCCAGATGACTTTCTCTGCACAGAATGGGTGAATTTTGTGCAGTTTTATTCTTTTTTCGCCTGTCAGAGCAGTGATTGATGCCCATCCCTGTTCCAGCCTGGCTTTCCTAGGGCTCGGCTCTTACAGCTGCAGTTGTGGGTCAGATTAATCCAACCTGGCCCAAATAATTGCTGATTAAAGTGGCCAAGCTGTGGCTCAGTCCTGTAAACAGGGTCTGGATCTGTAGAACTGGGTTCCAAGTGGTTTTTTTAATAAAATTCTGTAAGAAATGAAGCATTTGTGGCCTTTGGGGATGTGAGATGCTGCCTCTGAGGGCACAGACCTGGAATGGCAGCAGCGAGGAATTGATTTGCATACAGAAGGCAAATCCTTTACACAGTGCAGATAATGCACATTGTAAAACAGTTACAATAACATTCACCACAGCCATGAAAACAATTTTACAGCAGATTAAACACACTTAGAAAAAGGGGAAAGATGAGTGAGAAGGCAATGCTGACACTAAATTAGACTTGAGTCAGCAGCAGTGGGAGAACAGAGGAGAAAATGAGAAAATGTTCCAATGTCCTGCTGCATTTTTGTTCCCCCCAGGACAACTCCATTCTGTGCTCAGCGATTTTGTTGAGTTGGGAGGATTTGGAGCTCCTTGGATTGTGGGAATTAGAAGTGAGATGAGCATTACCTGGAATAGGTGAGCATTACCTGGAATGGGGTCAGAGGACATGGTTCTGTATAAAGTGTTTTAGTGAGTTTGTTCTTCTTTCTCTGTCATGTCAAACAGCCTGGGAGTGCTTGAGAGCACTGGAACCATGTTCCAGTGATCAGTGAGAGAGCTGCCAGCACTGTGTGATGGATTTAAGGTGCATTAGCAAGGGTGTGTTTCTCCTGCAAGGTTTGGGATGGCTGCCAGGTTTTGTTTTGTTTTGCTTTTTGGGGTTTTATTTTGGTGTTTGTTTTTTTGGGTTTTTTTTGTTTGTGTGTTTGCTTTTTTTTCTTTTTGTTTTCTTTTTGTTTTGTTTTTGTTTTGTTTTTGTTGTGTGAGGCATAGAAGCTCAGGAAAACGCTGAATTTTGGTCCATTTGAAAAAAATGAGTTTTCTGCCATTGCTTATATAGAGGGGTTGTAAACCACAAATTTGGATTTCTGGATGATCCTTTCAATTCTGTTTTTTTCCTCCAGGCTCTAGATCACACAGACAGAGGGGTCCTACAATGCACGAGGTGCTGGAGGCCTGGCACTGCTGAAGGTTCAGATTAAATTTGGGAGGTCAAACACATTTGCTGCAGCTGCTTGGCTGTGTCTATAGAATTTTCATTAATGAGCCGTTGCTTCTTGACTTTACATGTATGTGTGATGGTTGATTATGCAGGATTATCTTCTGGCAGCACACAGACACCTGCTAAAGAGGGAGTAATCTTGTTAGGAGCCAAATCTCATCTGATCGTTAAACACGGTGTGCTTACAACCCACTTGTCAGCTCTGCTTAATTCAGCATGCAGGGCTCTGTCACAATGGCTATTGATTCATTGGGATTGCTTGGCATCTCTGGAGATAATGATCTCACTGGCTGTTGGGGAAGATGAAACAGGAAAGCCTTATCAATATCATTGTCTGG